AGACTCAGCCAGGTTAGTTAAATAATTATTGGTATAGTAAAAGCAACACTTAAAAATTCAAAAACAAAACTTGAGGAGGGAGGTCCACTGTTAACTTGCAGCTTGGTAGAGAAAATTGGTAAATGAATTGATGTACAATGTAGTTAAGTTATGTTTTTAAAAAGCAGAAAGGTACTTGTATGTAAGCTTTATAGAAGCTTATTGAAGTCAGGTCTGATTCAGTTTTATAATGATTTCATCAGCTTCTCTTGAGCAAATCTATTTCATCCCTTTCCTCAATTCTATTTTAGCATAAAATGCATCACATATACATGTAGGTCTTTAAATCAACAATAAATCATTTGTTGTCCATATAATTTTTACAGGGTTCTAAAGGTGACTCAGGATGTTAAGTCAAAATCCAGACCTCAGGCATTGAACACTGTGGAAATGTTGAGGGCAGCAAGTTCTGGTCTTGGTAGGTTCAGTATTCTCACTTTCATTAAGATTCATTAATTTCAAGCCATTTTGAAACTGGTTCACCTAGAACATCATTTTTATTCGTTATTTATTTAAAGTAAGGGAAAAAAAATTGCTCTTTGATCTAAAAAAAAAACTTGGTTCTTTACAGGAATGGGTCCCCAGTATGCTATGCAGATTGCTGAGAAATTATATGTACAGGGCTACATCAGCTACCCCAGAACTGAGACTACACAGTACCCAGAGAACTTTGATCTGGTGTAAGGTTCTTATTCAACAGCTATCAGGAAATATACAAAATAAAATACAAATATGAAGTTCATCTGACTTCATGGTTGATTTAGTTGTGAGAATATTTATTTAGTGAAAGGAATCTATATCCAAATGATCAGATCTGAGAATAAAAATGGAGGGATATCTTCCACCTTGTTACACAATTCACCAAGTTACTGGTAGTTTGTTATAACCCAGTAGTAAAGTTCTATGGACATGTGCATTGAAGCTTTCCTGTTCTGGACACTTGAATTCCAAAACAATCTTTAAATTACTAAAACTTTTATTTTATTTGATAGAAACAAATGAATGTAAACTTTTGTTTCCAACAAATTTCATCCAAAAAAATCTATGTAGCTTTCATTATTACAGTATGGTATTTTGATTTTTCAGTGGGACACTAAGGCAGCAGTCATCAAGCTCTGCATGGGGAGACTTTGTACAGACACTACTCAAAGAAGGAATACAAAAACCCAAGTGAGTAACTGAATAGATAGAAACTAAGAATATTTAGCAACATAAAGAATTATATACAGATATTGCTCATGTTGACAGCATACATGCCAACTTTCCCGATTTAGGCGGGATCCTCCCGATTTTACCCTTTCATCCCGCCTTCCCGATCGGGAAAGCAAAATTGCCCTTATTTCCCGATTTGAAAAAAAAAATCAGCAAAATTTCCGATTTTAAAAGTAATTTCCTACCGCTGAATTTTGACAATCGGGATAACAATGTCAGACTTGTTTATTCAATGCACACAGATAAGTTTCATTGTTTATTTAACCAGATGCTAATTAGGCCTAGACACAGGAAATCACTTCACGCTTGAACGCACGAAGTTGTCCACTGGAGCAAGAAGCTTATAGCTTGGGGCAATTAGGGGATTATCTTGTTAGTTTTAAAGGGTATGCAAGGTGAAACACATAGATTAACAAGATAATTGTTTGTCATTTTATTAAAAATATAAATTAAAGACAATAAAATGCAAATCAAACAATAAAAACGAAATCCAAAGAGATCGTTTTTTGAAAACGAAAGTAGAAAACTAATAAAGCATAGCTGCTGATTTTATCTACCTATAATGAAAAATATTGTAAAGTTTGCCAGTTAAAATATTATTAAAAAATTAAGATGAAACAATCAAGTGTATGTCAATTAGAATTTCTTTTCCCTCCCTTCTCCCAAAAGGGATATGTTAGGTAGATCTATGTGCATGACTTAAGGAAATACACACATGGCACCATAAGCCTGACAAATTTCATGACTGTAATTGTAAAAAAAAAAAAAATTCTGTTTTTGGATAGGTGGTATAAATTTCTGTAAATTTAATATCTTATTAGAATTTCTAATTAATTGAAATATAAATAAAAAATGTTTCTAGAAACAGGACTTTACAGTATCAACACCTCATTTATTTTTAGCCTTTTGTTGTACAATTTTCAATTTTTCACTAAATTCTGTCCTGGTAGATTGTAAAAGTTTTTATATATGTAAGTTAAATACCCCTTCTTTAGTGAGAGAGGCACCAACAACTTTAGCAAAAATATTTCAATTTTGGAAAGAAAAACATTTTTTGAAATGTAAAATTTCACATGCATTACTACTTGATGTTCTTCAACCACGAAATCTAATCCCACAAACCAATATTTTTTCCTCAAACCTCGAAAATTTTACCAAGAAAAGAAATTCTTTACTTAATTTGAATTACAGTATGTCTGCTTCATACAAAATAAGATTTTATTTACAATATCAGAGCAGGGCTGATGGTTTAGGATGCTTTTCATATAAAAGTTTGTCTTGATTCCTTCCTTTTGTGAGAAGTAAACATTTTCATATTTTAATCTTCTGCTGATCCAGTGAACAATTTCAACCATTTCAACCAAACTCTTAACATTTTCAAAAGGCACACATGAATTATTTTGTGTAGATGCATGGTTTTTCTCCGTTTAAAAAGAGAAAGAGTTAAAGTTAGTGAGTCTTTTAGTAATCTTCTATAGTTTTAAGTGATATTAATGTGTAACTTTTGATGTTGTAGATTTCCCCTGACTGTAAGTACCTACAGACCACAGCGTACTTTGAGATCGGGGCAGAGAGGTTCAGCTGTACAGGTTATAGGGTCACTGACCCAGGGTTCACGGCCGTCATGACCTGGAAATCACTGGAGGATGAGTGGTTAATGCCGGAGTTCAAAAAGAACACAGACTACGAGATAGCTGAGGTAAACATCAGAGAATAAGCTAGCTGCAGAACTGTGGTTTTACATGTATATTTTAGTCTTTGACCATAATGCTGCAGATCCTGTAATGCAAATGTGATGTGATTTACAGTGCAAGAGTGGAAAAATTCTCTCCAACACAGAAAATTTTGCACGTAAATTGCACCTTATTTGCATCACAGGATCTGAAGATGTTATGGTCAAAAAATCTAATCCCACAAACCATTTTTTTTCTGCAGCTAGGAATGAGCTATTGGCTGAATCACAAGATAGTTGTTGTGTGAATGTTTTGGTTATTAAATTGCCTTGTTATGAATCTGAATTTTTTTTACTAAAATTGAATTACAGTATGTCTGCTTCATACAAAGTAGTATTTCTCTATGGAGAAACATGAGGATCGGGCTGATGGTATCCCTGTCCACATTAAAATCAAAGCGAGAGGAACTACGTCACCGTTTGTAAGCTGTAAACATTATATTCTAATGATCCAGGGAACAATATCTACCCAGCTTTAAAAAAATGCAACCAAACTTTGAACAAAGGCACTCATGAATTAAGGGATACCCATTTGTGTTTAATAAATCACTTCTTTTTTAAATAAAGACATTTCCCTGAAAAAAAGAGAGAAAATAAAAAGGCAAAAAATTTCCTGTAGACAGTTTGATAATCTACCATATTTATAAGTGATATCAATGTGGACTTTTTATCTTGAGATCTGCTGTGGAAAAACAACTGAATCTGATAGCTGCAGGAAAAGCCTATTATGAGGACGTACTGAAGCACGCCCTGAATATCTTCTGTCTGAAGTTTAAATTCTTTGTGGAGAACATCAGTGGTATGGATGAATTGTTTGAGGTTAGCTTCTCTCCACTGGCAGCAACTGGAAAACCTCTCTCTAGGTAACCATGGTTTAAGAAGTACTAATATTATAAAGTATGATGGAGGATTTTTGTAGGGTTTTTTTTTATGCCCCGCCATGAATATGGCCGGGGCATATAGTGTTTGTCATGTCCGTTTAGTTTTCACACTTTGCGTTTAGCTCTTTGACCTAAGTTTCAATGAAACTATCAAGATATTTTCATCAAACTGTATGCTGTAATTTGATGAGTGCAAAAGTGGAAAAATTCTATCCAACTGCATCAACATTTCTTGACCTTAGACCTTTCCTTGTATCACAGGATCTGAAAATGTTATGGTCAAAAAACTAAAATTTAAAACCATAATGCTACAGTTCTGCAGCTAGGAATGAGCTATTGGCTGAATCACAAGGTAGTTATTAAGTGAATGTTTTGGTTATTGTCTTGTTATTAATCTGCTGTTGTTCTGTTGTGAAGGTAAAGATGGTGGAGAAGCACACTAACCCCCCTGATTACCTGACAGAGTCTGAGCTGATCTCTCTGATGGAGAAACATGGCATCGGTACAGACGCCAGTATCCCAGTCCACATTAACAACATCAGCGAGAGAAACTACGTCACGGTCACGAGTGGGCGGAGACTACAGCCCACAACACTGGGAATCGTCTTAGTGCATGGGTACCAAAAGGTCAGAGGTCATAGAAAAGAATGTTACACTGTACAGGGTTATTTTACCCATGTTATTTTAGCTCTATCTTACTTGTAAATGATTTTTCCTGGTTCACTCATAAACATTTGCTTTAAAAAATTACCTTCTTTTTTATTTTTAAATCAGTCCATTTTCCTGTCAGAGGGTAAAAGAGGCAAAAATAAAACAGGGATGAAATCTTTCTTTTATATAGTACATGATATAGAGACTAAGCTTAAAACCTAAACTTTCAGATTGATGTTGAGCTGGTATTGCCCACCATGAGATCTGCTGGATCTGAATATTTTCAACTGAATCTATAGCTGCAGGAAAAACCATGGATGATGCATCTAGAGGATGGACTGAAGCATGACTTGCATCTTCTGTGCTGAAGTTTAAATTTTTGTGGAGAACATAAGCCCTACCTGAACCAAACTGGTCAAATTTTATATACAAGTTAGACTTCTTTTCTCCCACTGGCAGCAACTGCCTGAAAACTCTCTCTATGATGCAGCTAATCTTGGTTTTAGAATATTTTCATATTATAAAGTTTGATTGAGGATTTTTGTGGACATATTTTTTTTCTTACTTTAATTTCATAAGAAAAACAGAAAAAGTGTGTAAATTAGTTTTAAAAAAATTGCTAAGTGTTTGACTGAGAAAGTAATTTTAGAATAAGTTGATGTTTTTGAAATTGTTCTTTTTGTTCTGTGTAAATAAACAGTTATCATAATTGCTTCATTTAGATGTGGAAAATGCAGGCGCTTCATGAAATACGTACAAGCCAAACCTAGTAGACTTCACTGCTCTAACTGTGATGAGACATTCTCACTGCCTCAGAATGGGAGTATCAAGTTATATAAAGAACTCAAATGTCCTCTGGATGACTTTGAATTAGTTTTGTGGACAACTGGGGCCAAAGGCAAGGTAATTTAAAGAGACTACTATTTGGGTGAAGATCTTGCTTTCTTTTCTTTTATTTTCTTTTATTTACTATTTTTAGAATCAGAAAATTATTGCAGTTTTACAAATTGAAAAACTCTCAATTCTTGCATAATTTTCATTTGGAAATGAGGATGACATATAAAATTTAGAATTAATATTTGAGATAATAATTCACAAGAAATGTTAAAAAAAAAAAGTGTCATTGTGCTAACCATTGAATTAAATTTTGTCAAACACAGATTTTCGCAACAAATTTGAAATAACAGTTTGACTATATCAAATTGTTGCCAAACTTTGTTTAAATTTTTCCAAGCAGTTTTATCAAGTAAATAAAGAAACAAAAACTGCATATAATTTTCACATTATAAAGGATAACATGATAAACCTTTATTTCAGAGTTTTCCTCTGTGTCCTTACTGCTACAACAACCCCCCGTTCCCTGACATGCGTAAACAATTTGGTTGTAACCAGTGTACCCACCCCACTTGTCAGCATGCCCTGACCCAGCACGGGGTGTGCGAGTGTGTGGAGTGTGAGACAGGCATACTGGTGCTGGACCCCACTTCTGGACCAAAGTGGAGGATGGCGTGCAATAAGTAAGATTTTAGGACCAATTAAGCTGATATATAGAATTTTAAAAAACATTACCGGATACATTCAAGACTTTGAAAAAAAAATTAATATATTGTTATTATTATTGAAAAAAACTATTTCCCACATAGAGCAAAATAGTAGTTCCAACCACTAATATTGATATTAAATTTGATTGTAGGTGCCAGGTGGTGATTAACATGTTTGAGAATGCCCACAAAGTGAGTGTGTCTGAGGAGATCTGTGATGATTGCGGGGCTCACATTGTAGACGTGGATTTCAATAAGGTGAGGAGAAATCTGTGGCTCATTTTATTGATGTATAGGGTAATACTAGGTATTTAATTTACAAAGTTTAAATACTGATAAAACATTTCAAATATTACAAATTATTTCAGAGATGCATGTTTTGTAAATTCAGATTACATGTATTGGAAAATGTGAAAATTATCCAGTGGCAAATGATTTCTTTAATTTTATGTTTTTCTTCTCCACAGGACAAGACACCCCTGCCTGGTAAGGAGACCAAACATTCAGGTTGTGTTTTTTGTGACTCTATATTAAAAAACCTAGTGGAGAAACACCATGCCATCATGCGTCGCAGAAGACCAGGAGGTGGGCGGGGCAGAGGTAGAGGAAGGGGGAGGGGTCGGGGAAGAGGTCGACCTAAACCCAAGGACAAAATGGCCCAGCTGGCTGCCTACTTTGTGTAATAGTCATATAAACAGAACTGAAAAAGTCTTAAATTTATTGGCTTAATGGTGCAAACAATAAAAAAAATCACAATAACAGGACTGAAAAAAAGTTCAAGTTTGATGATATTATGTTGCATTGAATAAAAACTTTTCATTTCACTTGCAGTTTTCTTTGACTTCATTTGGTAGGATAACATGTTGGTCAGCAAGGGTATATAATATAACTCAATTCTCCATCAAAACAGTGAAATATAAAAGTTGCTCATTATTGGATACATCTAAGGTGTCTTAGAATGCCACACTAATTTACACATCGTTAATTAAATATCTCAGGAGTTTGATTCTTCTTTTTAAAAAAGGATAAAGCTTGCACCATTCGACTTTTTACCCAGGAGACAAACAATTAAGTTCTTAAATTTGGCTAGAAGAACAATACTTTTATTGAGTATACATGTAACAAAGGATTAGGTAACATAGATAATATTGTGCTTTAACATACTTTTGCATGAAAAAAAAAACAATCATGACTAATTCCAGTTATATGGCAGTAAAAAGAAAAGTAATATCTATGGTATAAACTCTAACACGATGCTGCCTATCAAAAATTGAAACAAATTCATAAGACGAAATTTTAAATGAAAGTGCAGGAGTTTTGTTGGAAGGCTTGTTTCAAAATGTAAAAATTAGAATTTTAAAATTGCATTTTGTTTCAGTTTTGATTTTATACCTTTCAAAGATTTCAGACAGTTGTTTATTTAAGTAAGTTGAATAAAAATCATGAAATTAAATTACAATGATCTTGAACTTTGGAATTTTTTTCTTGGAAAAGAATTATAAATTGCAAATTTGACAGGACAGGTTTTTGGGGATACCTTTTGGTCGACTTTGGCCCCGGCCACGTGGTTTGACCCACACAAAGCGACCAATCCCACAGTCAGTAACCTCATTTACGTCCATCGTTTCTGTATACAACACCTCCACCCTAACCCCCACCGTAACTAAAACTTCACCATTCGTTGTCTGGATTTTTAGAAATGGATTATTCGTTATATCTAACTGCGGTAGATTGTGTTCTCGACAGAATTCATCTTGCTCAGAGTTGGGTTTTGTCAGGACCAGCGTCGCAAAGTGATTTTTTGTATGACAGTAAAAGTCAGCAAAATAAAGATGCATGGATTTTCGGAAAATAGCCGTAGATGAGATATAGAGCCTGCGATTGCCAAAAAACGAGAACCATGGTGGTTTTCCATTTTTGGGGTATAACCCGCAGCCAAAAAATAGACCATCAATGTTTCCATTTAGGGCGGATCTTTGATCTCCATTGAAATCTTTGGTGTAAGGAACCATTTGACCATCTTCTACATCCAAGATGTTCTCCCAGTATGATGTTGGTTTATCTCTCCACATATACCTGAGTCGCAAAAACTTATTAGATTCTGATGCCTTTATAAAGTTAACACACTTGTCCTGCAGTTTTTTCAACTCATAAGATGTCAAATCTAAAAAGAAAATAATTATTGTGAACTAAATGTTGATATTATAATTAGTACTTTCCAAAAAAGCATTTTTTTTATTATGAGGATAAAAGAATCATCGTTAGCTAAGTGCCAATTTTCTAAATCAATATTTTCTACAAAAGTTGTTTTATGAAAAGAAAATGGCTACTTAAAGTAGTTGTCGATCTTCGTAATCTACATTTCCCAAAAAGTAGCTTTGCAAAAGAAAACTAGAGGTACTGTGTCTGGTGTGCATGAGTACTGAGCTCACAAATTGATACCCCCGCCTCCCATATGATTATAATGGCAAATTCCATGTTTTGCTTTGAGACACCGAAATAAGTGTCAGATGAAAAAGTAAAATAGGAGGTGCTCAATGGCACTGTATAATTAAAATATAAAAAAAAATTGTGAAAGTACCAAGTGATCGCTGACACAGGTATACACATACACAAAAACGAAATATTTATTTAAAAAAAGAAATCAAACAAATATAAATCTAAAAGATACCTCCAAAATTTTAATAGAATTCAAACTGGCAAATTTTCTTTATGATAATGTTTTACTGTCTAAAGCTGTCTGTCATGACCGAATAGCTAGTTTTCGATATCGTATCTGTTCTATAACTTTACAGGAAAAGAGCATACAATCTGTAAACAATATTTCCGAGAAAATAAAGTAAAAGTAGAATTTAAGCTTTGATATGAACAGTTTACAAAGAAAGACATTTTCTGAAAACATTCGAGAGTTTGTTGAGAAGGCAAGCATGAAATGGAAACCAAACCAATAAGTAGTTTTGGTGAGTATATTTCTTAAAATATTAATGCTTGCAGTTTCTTGAAAAAAAAAGAACTTCAGTATAGGCAGACAGATAGAAATACAGACTGATATTGAAAAAATAAATTCCAAATTCATATTTCAATTTCTGGTTGATTTACTACCTAAAATGGGGCGACTGTCTATTCATTATAAATAATGGAGAGAGGGGAGGGGGTGGGGTGTTAAAAAGCAGGTTACAACATTGTCACAGTGTCAAAAGAAAAACGCGACGAAAAGTTTTGCTTTCTGAGGATATATTATATAGCCGAAAAAATTCAAGAGTCCTGTGCTACAATATATTTGAGAACAGATGTGGATGCTAAAAAAACTCCGAGGAACTTTTGGAAAAATGGAAATCACAAAATTTTACAAAAATCAACAACGTAAAAGATAAAGACTTTTCAACTTTATATGCAACAATTCCCCACGAAAAATTAAAGTCAAGGTTCTTGATACATGTATCATTGACAGTTGTTTTTTTTTTATGATAAAAACGGAACTCGTATATTAACTTACCTTGTCATTGTTCATTTTAAAAATTATTTTGTTAAAACACATTCTAATTGCAAACCCAAGTACTCTGAAGTTGACATCAAAAAGATGCTTGAGTTTCTGATTGACAATATCTATGTGGTTTTTGGCGACCAGGTCTTTCAACAATCTATTGGAATATTAACATGGGTACCAGTTGCGCTCCGTTATTAGCAGGCCTATTTTTATATTCATATGAAGCAGAATTTGTACAAAATCTTATGCGTGAAAAGAAGAAAACACTTGCTGTGGTTTTCAACTCAACATTTAGATATATCGACGACGTATTGTCAATTAACAATGGTAATTTCCATTCTTATGTCGATACGATATATCCCGGTGAGCTTTAAGATAAAAGATACCACGGAGTCATTCGTAACTACTCGGCCATTTTCCGAAAGAGAAAATTAATAACGTTATCTATCGTTCACGGAAATGGCCGAGTAGTTACGATTGACCACGGAGTCTGACGCATCTGTTTCATATTTGGATATTTTATTAGAAAAAGACGTTAATGGTTATCTAACATCCAAGCTTTATGATAAAGGTGATGAATTAAACTTTTCAATTTTCCTTCACCTGAATACTGGATGTATACATGTGTCTCTCAGTTGAATCGATAGACTAAAGCTTGCTCTACGTATGAACAATTTATAAAACGCGGTAAATTATTGACAAACAAGTTGATGAAACAATAATATCAACAGTCTCGTAAAGTCATCATTTCGTAAGTTCTATAGTTGGTATATTAACCTTGTCAGTAAATATAATTTATCATTAAGTCAAATGCTGACTGATGTCTTTCATACTACTGTTAGACCATTATCTACAAACTGATTTTCCCGTTATTTCCCGATCATGATCCAAAGTCTATATATAGTTTATCAGAAAAACTGTAGAATTTTTCCAAAAATATCAATCTAATTTAACGAGGAGGAAAGACCCACTTTGCACGAATCTAAGACTATTGTTTTTATTGTTAAGTATATTAACTTAATATGCAAGCTCCTACCGTTGTATATGACTGAGCAAAAAAAAAAATCCCTTTCTTTCACGAACAAAAAATTGAAATAAAAAAATCCACCGAATGGGATAAGCAAAGGAAAAAATGATGACTGCTTTTGAAAAGAAAATAAAGTCTACAGTTCGGTCACGTAATTCAATTCCATTCTTACATAAGAGTTTAGACAAATCTAAAATGGGTAATAATTAAATAGAAAATAAAGTGTATTTGAAAAGAAGCAAACACGGACCATTGCTTACTAATAGTCTAATAGTTTTATTTTAAATATACAGTTCTAAACAGCAATTTTTGAAATGGTCGATTTGTACATTATTTCTTATATATTGAATATTGCATTCTTCAGAAACTACATAACTTAAACAGAATATTACACATATATGCATACTTATTATCGATTAAGCATGTGTGTAGTTAAGAAAATAGAGCCGTGTCACAAACAAAAATATTCATTACAAATCAACTGAAATAGCATTGCATTAAAAGCAGTGATGTCGACTGTTAACTTACATTTTTGGGAATCTGTCATTTTTTTCTCTACTGAAAATCTTTTATTTTAAAATAATATATTAATCATTAAATGATATAAATGCATTCTCATTTTAAACTCAAAACAATAATATTTCCTTTTATTTTAATGTTGAAAATCTTACCTCATTCAACAGTAGTAAACAAAAATAAAGAGAAAGTAAAATTTCGTTAATTCGTTGAAATACTAATCAATATGATGTCTAGCGTATGCAGATGGATAAAACGTACGCTCAACTATCCTTCTGCCTAGCATATGAAGTTGATGACAAAATTTTTATTCCAAACAGGAAGATATGTTTCTTTAAATAACATAGGATTTCCCTCGACGTTATAAATAATTTATTTCTATTTTAGTTATCCAGAAATCTTTTAAAATTGCCCTTTATGACATCATAAAAGATACTATACTTTAAAAGCATTTGAAGAATACAAATGGGAAATGTAGATATTGGGGAACTGCAGTATTAAAGAAAACATTTATTGAATGATGGAAAATGTGTGTTTTCACTTTGTGCTAGCGTGTTGATCCTAAAAAAAAATAAAAAACTATACAAAAACTTAAACAGTACATTCAAAATATTCCACGGACCATTTCAATATCTAATTGTATGGCGTTTTCGAAAAATGAGACGACCTACTAGAATCAAGAGCATGAAAAATCTGTATCATGATCACTGGGGAATGAGTTTAATAAGTTTTAGCCGAACCATAAATCTGAAACTCTTAAAAATAATTTTAAACTCTAATACGTTGAGCTGTCGCTGAGCCGAAGACTACATGTTTATGTAATGCAATATGGAGAAACCGAAACAATTCAAGGTCAGAGTCCGTTTATACAGTACAAAACGGGAGCAGAGCAAACACTGACCTCCAGAACATCAGAGGTGGGAGCAGGTGCCATAGAGGAGTAAGCATACCCTGTTGACTGTCACGCCCGCCGTGTGCCCTTGAGAAAATAACACAGTATTTAGAATTAATTCAATAAATATACATGTACTACATTTTTATCATGTCTTTCCCATTTACATAATCCTGCATAGATCTGTGCTTCTCTAAATGTTCTTGACGAAATGACCATGCCCTTGAGTAAGGAATATGAGTCAACAGCTTGAATTAATTTTAGTCAAATAATAGTGTTCTAAAGATTTGGGCTGTGACTGTACAATATTCCACATTTTAAAGCCTATTATACTGGCTGAAATCTTTAAGATGTAAAAATGCCTTCCGACAATCTGATGGAATTAATGGGCACCCGTTGTGCTCCTATATTAGCCGACCTTTGTTTTTATTTTTTAAAGCAGAATTTATTCAGAACATAATGCATATTAAAAAAGAAATATTTACAAATTCAAATGAAATTTAAAGCTAGTAAGAATTAAGCTGATAAGAAAACAATTCTAAACAGGTAAATTTTATTCACATTTGAATTCAATATTAATACACATATATTACATTCGTTTGTTGTTGCAGTCAACAAATTTAGCATATATTACAGTATCTCAGGTTCTCTTCCCTCCTGTCTTCCTTTGCTAACCACGTCCCAGACTGGTCTCTCTCTCAATTTATCAATAGCGATGTCACCTACAATAAGTACCTCAACCCAAATATCTGACCCCCCATTTGAGGCCGACAAAAAAAACTTGTCGTCTTCCCTTTGAAAGAAAGGATTAGAATATAAGTCCACTTCATATAAGTTTTGTTTACACCATTGTAGATTTGGGTCAGTAGAGCACACCAAAAGGAGCCTGATGTACCTTGGTTTGCTATTGTATGTATACGAGCTCTCAAAAAAATAAATACACTTGTTTGTCTTCCTTAACTGATTTCGTCTCAGATGTGTCATTATTATCACTTTGTACATCATCGCGGTCAAGCGAAACATTTTCCATGTAATGCATCATTACTGATGCAGGTATTTTAATTCTTTGAGTTTCGTAAGGAGATTTTCTTGACAGTCCTTTGCCTTCTAAAGCCAATACAAACCAGATTCCTTTCAAGTTTGTGTTTGTTGCCAGTGGCGCCAGCTCAGGGGACTCTGTTATTTCTTATCTCAATATTCTAGAATGTAGAATTTCATTTTTGCACCTCTTGATAGTACAATGAAAAAAGTAAGAGACTCTAGCCATTTCATGAAATTCCTGCGTTTTCAAAAGTTTTTCCCAAACATACTTCCTGTGCAAGACTCACTAAATCCATCAGCTTTAGGGTCCGATTCCGCCATATTTGCTATAATAAAAATCCAGAAAAATGACGATGAATGTGTGGCTTTCAGTTTAAGCTGTGGCTTTTGAAAGAACTGTTATTGTATAGCTAGGTAAAAATAATCAAAATATTATACAGGCTTTTTATGTCAACACCTACTTCGAAACGGGGCATCGGTTAATACGGTCTCATCGAAAGGACACCGGTCTCTGCGTGGATCAACTCCTTACTTAACTTTGTACAAAAGTATATATGATATCCACAGTTTTAATTTATGTTGTATTTTTTATTTATGTGTACAAATATTCGTATAAAGAGTTTGTAATGCTATCATCATGTTTGTTATTTTGAAAACATCACATGCATCAACTCGCAATAGGCATCAAATTGCAGTTTAGTGCAGCTCTCACATTTGCAGCTGAGAGGATCTTATGGAGTTCCTTATTTTTTGTATAGTAAGCAAATGGAAAAAATAAAACCACAATCTATTCTTTAAATTCAGCTCGTGAAACATTGTACAACACATAATATCTTAATGTATCCAATGATTGCTTTACGTCTTTTTGATAAATTCTTTTCATTCCCTTTGGAAGTCAAAGAAGTTGCAACGAATCCACTCGCATTTCACATTGTATTGAAAAGTCGTCAAAGTTTGAATTTTAGAAAAGAAAATTATAAAACTTCTTTCTCAGGGTCTCTCCCTGCACGCACGTCTTTGCCAACTTCATCCCATTCAATATTTCCGACTATGAGCACCTCAACGCAAAGTGCACGTTTGTTAGAACCATCATTCTTCGAAGACGTAAGTTTATTATCGGACCATTGGAAAAGGGAATTTTTATGTAAGTCAACCTTATGCAGATTTTCTTCACACCAAGGCTTCGGGTCATTTGAGCGGAGTAAAACTAACCTGGTGTATTGCGATCCTTCATTGTAAAAATGTGCACTTTCAAAATAAAACTGGATCCTCACGATTTTTTTATTCAGTCTTTCTTGGTGTATCCTTTGGCTTTTCCTTTAGAGCTTTTGCAGATTTTTTTTTGCACGTTGTTTCTTGTAGAAAGATGACGTTTCTGCAGCTGAAGCTGAATCATCATAATCATCAAGATTTACATTCTCATCCAAAGATGTGTTTGTCATATAATCCATCATACAATGCACGGGTATTTTGATTCTTTGGGAACCGTAAGGTGACTTTCTTGGAAGCACATCGTCCTTCAAAGCCAGCGCAAACCAGTTTCCCTTCAGATCTTTGTTAGATGCTAATTAAATGCGCCCGCGCCGGGGACTAGGTGTAACCTCCATACAATTTTCTAACCTGTCAATGAGGTGCAGTGCAAAAAGTGTGTGACTTAATTGTTTCTCGTCACTAAATCTTTGATAAACAGCCTCCATTAGCTCGTCCCAAAGTCTGCCCAGTTCTTCTTTCGATGTGAAAGGTGCACTTAATTCTCCTCCATCTAGAAACATCACCATGGTGAAACACATTCAGTCATACAGATATCGCAAATGCCATTTCCCACATAGAGCAAGAAATTAGTGCTCACCGCTGATATTGATATTTGATTGTAGGTGTCAGGTGGTGATTAACATGTTTGAGAATGCCCACAAAGTGAGTGTTTCTGAGGAGGTGTGTGATGACTGCGGGGCTCACATTGTAGACGTGGATTTCAATAAGGTGAGGAGAAATCTGTGGCTTGTTTAATTTTCATTTGATGTAGATTTGCAAACAAATACCTGGTGAAACGGTATTTTAAATACTTGTATTTATCATCATTTCTAAAATGCATATATTGTAAAATTTTAGATCATTAAAAACAGAAAGAAAAAAATGCAAGCGAAAATTATCCAATCGTGGTAAAGAGACAAAACATTCAGGTTGTGTTTTTTGTGACTCTATATTAAAAAACCTAGTGGAGAAACACCATGCCATCATGCGCCGTAGAAGACCAGGGGGTGGGTGGGGCAGGGGTAGAGGAAGGGGGAGGGGCCGGGGAAGAGGACAAAATGGCCCAGCTGGCTGCCTACTTTGTGTAATGGTCAGATAAACAGAACTGAAAAAATGTTTGAAATTTATCGTTATAATGGTGCAAACAATAAAAAAATCACAATGACAGAATTGAAAAAGGTTCAAAGTTTGACAATATTATGTTACTTAGAATAAAATCTTTTCATTTCTCTTGCAGTTTTCTTTGACTTTGTTTAGCAGGATTACATGTTGATTAGCAAGGGTATATAAAGAAAACTCCTTCCGCCATCAGAGCAGTGAAATATGAAAGTTGCTTTTAAATTTGGATACATCCTAGGTGTCTTAGAATTGTCTCTCTAATTTAAACGGACCCATATGATTTTAAGGGGGTAATTTTGCCATCATATACTTTACAATAGGAAATGAAGATAATTTTCAGGTGTGCAACCTCAAAAGTTTTCACAGTATCTTACATACTTTACAGGCCTATAACATATCCTGGGCAGATAATTTTGATATTTACTGTACCGTAGATCCCTTAATATTAACAACACCTTATGTTCGCTGGATTGCCATCAATTCTTTGATAGCAGACAAAAATTTTCACTAATTCTGGTGTTTGCTCCATATAATCATAAGGAAAACGCGAGAATGAAATTTTCGGAGCAAACTATCTCACGTAATTACGTGAAAATAAAGTTCTTGCAAATAAAAATTGATTTCAAGTAAACAAAGAATTAAATTTTTGTAGGTGATCACATTTAGCTTCTTACATACTGAGTCTAATCTGACTAACTAATCTCATCTCAATGATATGATAACTACTTAAAGCTATCGTGCAAAGTCTTAAACATATTATAAGCAACGAGCAAAGCGGTGTCCGCCATATTTCTCAACTCTGCGATAGTTTCAATTCCAAATATTTGTGATCAGTCGCGGTCATGGGCTATTGCACACGCTTCCAGAAGGCCTAGAGTGTACACTAATCCCCCCCCCCCATGTAAGTCAAACTTGTACTGTCTGTTGCTAAATTTTAGAAAATAAATACTATATGATGAGAGGAAATAATTTAAAAAAAAATATTTTTCACAAAATAAGTAAGTAAATAAAAAATTAGGAAAAAGTAAAATATTAGTCACACGAAAGTACGATATGCAAAACCGCTTTTTACATTGCTTACCAGACGCCGACAGTACAAGCTTGATCAGTTGAATGGAACATTCGATAAGTCAAACAAATTATAAAAGTTTAGCAATATTTATCCAAAGATTTGCCTTTCGCATACTCCATTAGTGCACACACCCTGTCCCGGTATTCAAACCGGACCGTTCAGTTTTCTATAAATAGGATCTACTCACACTTCGGTGTTTTCTAGGGACCTGTTATTATTTTATCCTGCGTATTTGAATGTTATTATACAATCTACAAAAAATCTCTGTAAACTGGTGGTCTTTTTCGACATAACCCAAATAATTGTACACACTTTAGACACAATTACACGTAAGGGTAACAATTTTTTTTTTAATTAAAAAAATATAAATAGAAAAAAAGCAGACACACCAAATGCTCATTGACAAGAAAAAAAGGAATCTGCTTATGAAATTTTATATCTATTCTATGATTTGAACAGCAAATCAATTATTTGCCTACACTGTTTATAAAGAAAATCAAATTCTTATCAAGAAGACACGGTGGAAATTTACTGAAGGGACACATGTATACAAATAAATATTTTGATATACACTATCAATGATTTATTTCTGTAATTATATTTTTCCTGCGAATACCTTCCATTCTACATCGGTACGGAAGATAACATTTTAAGACCTACATCACTGGAAACAAAAAATGTTTTGGTTTCTCAAATTCATGCAATGATAAATAAAACAAATATCAAAATGTTAAAAGAACCCCCCTCTCTCTCCCTCTCTCTCTCAGTTTCATCCCTATTTATAAGAAGTTCGATGGTCTAAAACAGTAATAGGGAAATAACAGGCCAAAGACCTACAGCGATAAACATTGAAAAAAATAAGTGCATATCTATTGTGCACAAAACAGTGGTTTGCTTTTGTGTTTTTTTTTTACAAGATATATCAAAATATTAACTGACCTTGAGTTTCTTACATATTCCAATATTTACACTATTCACAACAGAACTGCATGTGCAAGTAATGCATCAACCCAATATGACAGTATTCTGGGGCAGATCCAGCCATTTTTGAAAGGGGGTTCCAGGGTTGTGCCCCTCTAACCCCCCCCCCCTACACACACACACTCTCAAGGAAAGATTTACACACACGTTCAGAAAGATTTTAGGTTGTGGTTATAACAATTTTGTTTTACTTTGTTTTATGTCCCTTTTTTCTTTGAAAAGATACTGTACCTCCAGTCCGAATAGAAAAAACAAACACATTTTAAAAACATTTTAAAAACCTTCACATTGAATGGATTTGCAGCATTTCAGAAAAGTACATAGAATTTTCTTTTTAGAATTTGAAAAACTTTTTTGGGGTGGGGTAGAGGTGGGGTTAAACAAAGAGTTACAAGTTCCTTCAAAAGATATCTGATCAAAAAATGGTACATATCAGGGACGTAGCAACATGGGGGCCAACAATACTTTTACCATTGAAAATGTTCATTGAAAGCCCCCCCCCCCCCCACTTTATACTAAAGTAAAGTAATATGAAAAAAAAATAACCCCCCCCCCCCCCAACGAAAAAGGATTTTCGATTTTGGGGAAACAATCCCCCCCCCCCTTTTTATTTTTTGCTTGTCAAATTTTTGTAATAAGTAAAAAAAAATTTCTGTGGCTGCCCCCCCCCCCACTTTCAAATTCGATGCTACGTGCCTGCATATATATAGCCAACACAACCACAGATCGCGGGAATCTATATCATATTAAACCTCGCATGTTACATAGTCAATATCATATATCAGATATATGAAAATAAGTAGAATATTTTCTACAGTTCTCTCAAAAAAAAAGTAATTGTGAAGGTGAATGGAGGAAACTAAATCGTGAGAATCAATCTATTCAATACATACATATAAAGTTAGACTACAAATATTTTTTCTCGGAAAACGCTGTACCTCTCTCTCCACTTGGCAAAAAAAGGGGGGTTCCAACCCCCCCCCCCCCTCTGGATCTACCAACGAGTATATATATTACCCAACTCAATATATATGGACTCAAGATATCAGGCCCAGAAGGAGTATGAACAACAGTTTGGGGAATTTTTTGTTGTGGGCGTAGTAAATGTGCTAGGAGAGCACGGTTAGGAAATTGTTTAGGTGGTAGCGTAATTTATATAACGGTGAAATACTAATCAATGGGAAAAGTGCGCTTTTGTGCACAATAAGCTTCCCGGACGGACATCCTTATTTTCTCCAGCTGCATTCCAGCGAGCTACAGATCTGTAGCTAATATAAGATGTTGTTACATAGCATAATCGGATAAAGCAAAGAGACAGACAACTTGAAAGCTAGAATAATTATTGCGAGAGAAAAAAAAAACTAGATGCTGTCATGAGACAGTAATACCCGCACTAAGGTGTTTGCCTCTAAATACACGCTCCTACATATTGGGCGGCTTTCCAAAGAAATAGTCAAAATAATTCTATAATTTACATGTATTCATCAAATTGAGTATGAAATTCTCAGACCCTGTGACCTATAACTCAGAACCTCTTATATTTATTTTATACATGCTTAATTCATTATATACCCGGCCAGTCTGAATTTTATTAATGATGTAAATTCATGCACGGATCTGTCGGGGGGGGGGGGTCCTACAAATTTACAAGGTTAAAAAATGTATATACTAAAACAAGGAAAAAGTTACAATGGACCCCCCTTGGAAAATGCAGATCCCCCCCCCCCCTGGTAAACACGAATATGTGTAAAATAGGTATGAAAAGTTAAACATTTAATTTGCGGCAATAGAAGTCACCACTACCCCCACCCCACCCCCCCCCCCCCCCCCCCCACCCCCTCCCCCCACTATATATGTTTTTGACGTTTGGGTGAGATTTACTTTAGGTTTTTTTTTTTTTTTGGATTGTCAATTTCTGGGATAGGATTTTTTTTTTGACTGAGGTGCCCCCCCCCCCCCCCCGGAAAAAATTTCTGGATCCACGTCTGAAATTAGATTTTGATATATGTTTTGCTCATAATAGGACCTTTTTAATTTTACTACCCCCCCCCCCCCCTCGACACCACAATCAAACAGCACATACTTTTGGGAATAGGCTAGATGGAAAAGGTTTGTTAAAATTTAATATCGTTTGTTATGAATTAATTTAAAATTTGTTCTTGTACTATACATGTGAACATGTAAATTTCTACATCACATCACATTGCGTCACCCATTATCATATTTATAGATTAAACACCATTTGGCACACCTCGGCCGATACCCACTTCATCTGATAAGGTGATGGAATCGACGAAGGTTCGCCAAAATGGCACATGGCTGCAGTCTGGTGTGCATTGGATTAATTCATTTTGTGTTATAATTGGATTTAGGCCTATATTTCATGAAGTTGACGAGACACAGGGAGTCGGTAAGTAGAAGTTTTAGTATAGTGGGGGGTAAAATACACCCAAACGATTAGGTTAAAGTTAAAAAGGGTCAAAGATCATCGCATGCCACACTAGACGAATTTCATATTGTGAAGTTATCTCCCGTTGTCGATGTGACATTCAGTTACT